TTGAGTGGTTGTACTTTAACTTGGTTGAAACTAAAACTTTTCAAAGGAAAACTTTGGGGTGTTTCTAATTTGTTTCAACCCTCATAAAGTCATTTTAAAAAGTCTTAAATTAATTAACCTCTTCCAAAAGGTTAACAGACAGCTAAATAAAGCGAGGCTTATTAACGAAAGGAGGTTAAAAATGACAGAATAAATTTCGAGTTGTCACAGCAACTTTAGATTTGGGCTTCTAACTCGAAATGGTTCTTAAACTTGCCCTTAAGGCCCCAAATCTCATGTTAAAGTTTGATCTATATGCAAAATAGTGAAGGTAGCGACTCATTACCTTCAAATGCTTTGAAAAATCCCACAAACTTTGGATCTACTGCGACTCCTTGAATCCCCAATGGTTCCCTTCTACCTTCTTCCTTCAAATTACCCAAAATGGCAAGAAAGCTTGAATGTATAGCAATGGAGGCTTAGGGTTTCGTATTCTGGATAAGAGAGGCTACAAGGAAACCTTAGGGAGAGAATGAGATGCTTAAATAGTGTTCAAAGTCCCGGATTTAGGGTTCCCCTCTTCAGACCGGACTCGCTGAGTCATCTTTGCCGACTCGCCAAGTCGGTTACTTAATCGATCCCCTGTATCCCACTCCGACTCGTCGAGTTCCTCCCTGGACTCGACGAGTTGACCCTTTGACTTAGGGTTTTCTTTCCTTTCTTGGCCTTTCTGATTTTGAATGTTACACATAAGGTTCCTCTTTTAATAATGTAACGCCCGTAAATCCGGGCTAGTCAATTTCGAGGTAATAGGGGTCGAAAATTATTTTTCGACAAAAAATTATTTAGAATAAATAATCTTAACCAAGTTGTAGAAAATTTCACAAGGTTTCCGTACATATAAAGAGCGTCGAAATCCGAGTTATAACGAAGAAGTTATGACCCGTCGAAGTTTCACGATGGAACCGGTACGGCACGACACTAGGAAGCGTAAATAGTGATTTTACGATGGTTTTTCTAAGATTGGGCTTAGCAGTGCACGACCTGAAACTCGAATTTTAGTTCGAGCGGTTTTTGGCTTACGTGAATTAAATGAGAGTTGAAGATCTCATTAATAGGAACTTAACAGTAAAAAGACAGGCGAAAACAGAGTCCCTATGAAGAAGTTACGAATTCTTCGCGGTTATTTAACAGTCTAAAGGCCTCGTACTATTAAATTTAAGATCGATCGAGATTTAGCTGACGGAGTCAAAATGAAAGTTGTAGATATTATTTTTATCTACGCGTGGATATAAATAACGTCAAAAACGGAGGTCGTATGTGAAAGTTACGAATTTTAGAAGTCGGAAGTGTGATGTGCGAAAATGGGTGATGTGGCACAATCTTGGCCATTGCTTTCTCCCCAAGTCTTGCCACTAGATGGTGACATGTGGCACCAAGTTCAGCCATTTTCACCCTATAAATAGAACATCTCCCACCCTTATTTTCTTCACACCTTTCTCATTCTTTCTTCTCTTTACTTTCTCTCTCTAGAACCTCTCTCTAGCCCCGAAATCCCCCGCAAAGCCTAGGGAACCTCCATAGCACGAGGCGGAAGCCCCTGAGTGCTCGACGGCTCCAAGAAAAAGAACTTTTCTGCACGGGAATGCTGCTCCAAGCAAAGCCTGGTTTTCTATAAAACCCGTTGTAAGTGAGCTACGCCTACGCTATTTTTAATATAGTTTTTATTTAATTATATTAACATTATTAAGAACATATAATAAGTAATTGGGCTATTAGTATGGGTTATATAAGTATTATTTAACGGTTTATATAATAGTAATAATAGTTTGACTATTAATTAGTCTCGGTGAATAATATACTAAACTCCAGTGGTAATAATACTAGGTTTCGTCGAAGGAAATTATTTTTTCTCAAGAAGTGAAGCGCTGTCTGAGTTCGGAATCACCACCTTTTCAAGTGAATGCATAGTTACTTTCATCTTACACATAGATATGAAGTATTTTATATAAATTATGTGTTATGTGTGCATATTATCTGAGTACTTGTTGTCTATGCTAAATGAACAATTTTATACATGTTTTAAATGATTTAAACTGTATATGTATTTTATATCTATGATAATGTTGGGGTAAACATGGGTAGATATAATAGATGGAATATGAGTTGAATGATGAGTTGAGAGGTGTTATAGACCATGAGGTTAGGGTGAGAGGTGGACGATGTGAGAAGCCTTTTTCCCAAATGATGGCCCCGTCATTCAGCAGAGTATGGATGACAACCACGGACTATTCTAGACAGTCCAGTGGAACACTAGCCAGCTCGCAACCTGTAGGTGTTGTGAACGATGTGTTCACCCGGTGTACTCTAAACCCTAGTGATTATGAAGACTTGATGCCTAAACCTTGGTGATAATGCAGACTTGATGCCTAAACCCTGATGATCATGCAAACTTAATGCCTAAATCTTGGTGATCATGCAGACTTGATGCCTAAACCCTGGCGACTATGCAGACTTAGTGCCCGTTGTGTAAACCATGGCAACGATGGACTTTATGTCGATTCCTTAGGATGATCCTTAGGAATGAATGAACTAAGAATAGCTGATTCTTAGGGTAGATCCTTAAGATTAAAGAAGATAATGGGGATGGGTAATTGAGTTGATTGTTTGATTGTTTAAACATAATAATTATATTATTGTGGGTTGAAAACCCTATGTACTCACCAGGTTTCCCAACCTGACCCACTCAGTTTATTTATATCATAGGTGTTGATATGAAGTCACATTACACTGAGAGATTAAAGAGATGTAGATCACTAGTATAAATAAATGTAAGTTCTTTTTATGCTTATGTTTCTGTATTGACGATGACATCCCAAACGTTTAAAATGAATAAAATACGTTTCTTCGAAAATATTTTGATAATGTATTTGTCGTATTTTTCTGGGAACAAATTCCGCAACATTTTTATGAAAAGAAGTACTCTAATTTTTATAAAGCACAAATAATATTTAGTGATCATTGGTTTTAGGGATTTTGATTCTAGAATAGTCCACTAGTATATAAGTTACACTACGTTTTGTTATAAAAGTTGTCGCTTGGTGTATTCTCTTTGTGAGAAGTTATAAATCAAAATTGGTTTTTGATTACACATCGCCACTCCCTTACACCCACGAATACAACTACTTTTCCATAAATCTGACCGTAGCCGACATGAAGCTACCATCGTCGCCTCCTTTGAAACTACCACCCTTCCTCCATCACATGCACATCACCACTGAAACTCATGTGTTTGACTGGAATCATTGTCTTCCCGTGTTTATAGTGACGACGTCCTCACGATGAACAACCGACGATCCCTCTGGTGAAACACACATATTCTCAGTCTCACAACCCTAGCTTTATAGATCGATGGTCGTGTATCCGACAACCGTTCCATCTCTCTTTCTCTCTCTCTCTCTCTCTATATATATATATATATATATATATATATATATATATATATATATATATATATATATATATATATTACACACATAGAACCCTTAATTGTTGGGTGGGGGTTTGGCTTTTGAGAAATCTAAGATAGGTTGTGATTTTGTGAATGCTTTTGTGTGTAAAACCCTACTTCTGCAGATTGATGCTCTTATTTGTGTTAATTTTTCTGGTTAAATTTGATTTTGACTTTTGATGTTTGATTTTTGTGTTCTAAAATTCCAAAAAATAATAGAGGTTTGATTATTTGAAATTCCAAAAAAGAATACAAGTTGTGATTTGTTTGGATTTATTTTGATTTGGTGCTTGGTTTATTTTAGCACGATTTTTCTGGGTATCAGAGGGGGTTGAGCATTGGATCAGGTTTATTTCTTTTCGACAAGAGGTGTAGGTGGTGGTCAATGACAAAGGGTGGGTTAGGGTTAAAGGGCATGAGGGGATGACAGTCAGTCTCAATGGTGGTGTTTTAGGTTATGGTGACCGGTGGCTAGTGCCTAGTGGGGAGAGTAGCTGGAGTGCACCATAAAAACCTAGACTAGTGCACCAAAAAAAAAAAAAAAAAAAACCATAAGGAATATTTTTGTAATTTATTTGATGAAATTACATCGTTGCCCTTGATGCAATATAACTCTAACGTCCTTCCGTTCGGCTTGGGGCTTTCAATTTCACGAATACTCGCCTGGTCTCTTCCTTTCGACGATGCTTGTCGAAATCGCCGTCGCCCTTCTTGTCGGCATCGGAATCGTCGCAGCTCCTCCCTCTGTACGCAGCCATTATCAATATTCCTACATCTGGTCGGAACCTCCGTGGAATCGTCGCAGCTTTGTTTGTTTTCTTTCCTTTTCAGGCAAGCATCGTCAATCGACCCACATCTGGTCGCTCATCGCCGTCTGGATTGTCGCAGCCCATATCTTTTTTTTTCAGATTTTTAATATCTCTTCTTCAGTATTGCCATTTGTAATGTTAACCCATTCGCTTTTTGCTATTTTTTCTTCCAGGATTCTGTTAGAAGCATTTAACATTCCAAATGGTATATATATATATATATATATATATATATATATATATATATATATATATATATATATATATATATATATATATATATATATATATATATATATATATATATATATATATATATATATTTTTGCTATTTCATCAAATTATAATATATAAATTTACTTTATAAATTGCCCTTTCAAACCCCACAATCCAACAGACGAAATCGAAGGCGAAGGCGAAGGCGAAGGCAAAAGTGAAGTTTACAGCTGATGAAGTTCGTAAGGTTATGGATTTCAAACATAACTTACGCAATATATCTATTATCGGTGCTTTTGGCCATGGTAGAACTGAATTTATAAACATCATATTTAATTTATTTTTAACTAATAATCATTCGTCTCTTTAACCTAATAGGATAATCCACATTGAATGATTCCCTTGTGGCTTTTACTGGTAGCATCCCCCAAGAAGCTGTTGGCGATTTCACCATCAAGTCAACCAACACTTCAATCTACTATGAAATGACAGAATCAGACCTCAAATCCTTGCAAGAAGAACATAACGGAAGAAAGTACATCATCAATCTCATTGACTCCCCAGGGCACATTGAATTTTCAGGGGAAGTTAATGCTGCTCTCCGTATCACCGATGGCGCTCTTGCTGTTGTTGACTGTAGCGAGGGTGTTTGCATCCAAACCAGAAACGTCATTCGCCACGCACTCCTTGAAGGATTACGGCCCATGTTGACCGTTAACAAAATGGAAACATGTTTCCTTGATTGCGAAGCCGATGGTGAAGAAGTGTATAAAACTTTGGAAGGGATCATTAATGAGGTGAATGCCACCATTGATATCAATAAGGTCCCGCAGTTAGATGATGTCACGGTGAGCCCCACAAAAGGCAACGTGGCGTTTTCGTCTGGGCTTCATGGATGGGCATTTACGTTGAAATACTTCGCGGAAAAGTACGCTCTTGAGTTTGATGTTGACGTGCCAACGATGATGGAGAGACTTTGGGGTGAGAACTATTTTAATCTGGAAACGCAAAGATGGAGCAAAAAAAGATACAGTTGTCGCAATTGCAAACGTGGGTTTGTTCAGTTTTGTTATAAACCTATTAAGGCTGTCATTGGGTATTGCATGAATGACCAGAAGGATCGGTTATTGCCTGTATTGAAAGAACTTGGCGTTACATTGACGTCTAAAGAGAAAAAATTGGTGGGCAGAGAATCGGTGAAAAGTGTTATGCGGAAGTGGTTTCCCGCTCCTCCCGTTTTACTAAAAATGATGGTATTTCATTTGCCTTCACCCTGCGTTGCTCAAAAATACCGTGTGGAGATTTTGTATGAAGGTCCTAAAGATGATAAGTATGCTGAGGCAATTAGAAACTGCGACCCCAATGGCCCTCTCATGCTCTATGTATCGAAAATGATTCCTGCATCCGACGACACGGGTCGATTCTGGGTTCTAGGCCGGGTTTTTGCGGGTCAGGTTTCAACCGGTATGAAGGTCGGGGTATTGGGATCTAATTACGCTCAACACAAGGATTTCTCTGTCACTATTGTGGAAAAAACTGGTATTTGCATTGGAAAAAAAACAAGGAATCGTAAAAAATGTTCCTTGCGGAAACACAGTGTTAATGTTGCTAGGTTTGGATCAATTTATGACCAAAAATGCAACTATAACCTCAGAGAAAGAAACCGAGACTAATGTTGCTAGGGATGCAGTTTTGGCTTCTCAACTGACAGCAGGACCAAGGCTAATGGAGCCAATATTTTTGGTTGAAATACAAGCTTATGAGCAATCACTTGAGAAGATAAAAAGTGTGTTTCAAGAAAGACGCGGTTAGTTTCGTAAAATGAGAAACAGGACGCTGAGCCGGTGGGTCACCTTTGAGGCATATATTCCGGTAAGAGAATCATTCGAGTTATATGATGCTTTCAAGTCTTTATCATTGAAGGGTTCCCCACAATGTGTGTTTAGTCATTGGGGAATCGTAGATTCAGACCCAATGGAAGCTAATTCTCTGGCGCATAAGCTTATTCAACACATCCATGAGAGGAAGGCTTACATGAGGCAGATGACACCACCATAGTCTGTGACTCTCAGGGACTTATATATCTCAATTGAATGACTCAATGGTTGTTTCTTTTTACTCTAAATTTGAAGTTTTGACAAGAGAGAAAAAATTGTGAACTCTCTTTATAGCTTCAGAGGAGTAGTTGGTTGTTAATGGAGTATATGCCATTAATTATATATCTTTCAAAAACCTTGTTAAGTAGCTCGATTTTATCTTACGAAATAAAATCATATTTAGTAAAAAGTAGCTCGATTTTCTCTTACGAAATAAAATCATATTTCGTAAAATAATAGTACTTGTTTTTGTTGAACCTCATTAATATATCATAAAATTTCTGACTAGATACTACTCATTCTTTCTTTTTTTTTTTTTTGGTAAAATTGATGGCACAGATTGGTAGATTGTATTGGTGGATGACTTGAAGACATTTTTGTGTAGAACTAATGTGGGTCGTTGTTACTTAAGTGCTGATTGTTTTTTCTAAAAAACCTCTTCTGACCTCTTATTGTTGTGTCGTGCGGCACACGCGCAATACTTGGTCCTTCGCAGTTGTTTATTTTTCAGAAAACTTCTGACTTAAAAAATGCAGTGAGAACATATTGTCTGAATCTAGATCATTATGTAAAAAAAACAAATAAAATGTACAATCATTTGTGGTGCACCCACCACTACAATTCACCTACAAAAGGAGAAAACAGAAAAAGATGCTCAAAGGGTAGGGGACCACTACCAATCACAATGATCCTGCTGAGGTGGAGGAAGAGCAAGGGTATATTGGGAATTAACAGCCAAAGTGAGCAGTGCGGTAATAAGAAGTGGGAGACAGAGCATTTTAGGCAGGCAAAATATTTTTAGAAGATTCATCTTCTTTTGGGAGACCATAGCATCTCGAATCGCTATATCTATCATGTTCTTCATTTGTTTCCAATTGTTCTTATTTGTCCCTCCTGTTTCTTTGAACATTGCGTAATAGAAAGTTGATTCTGTTGTCATTACTGTGTTCAATTTATCAAGTCAGTAAGTTCATAACAAATTGGTATCAAAGCCTTTCCCTGGGGTCATGGCTGGAGGAAAAGAGATGGGAGGAGCTCCACTCAAACGGGTGGAATCATTGGAAAAAGAGTTGGGGCACCTGAATGATCGAATGGAGACACAAGGGCATCAGATCCAACATCGGGCGGAATCCCTGGCGTCCATGCAGATTAAGATGAACTAGAAGTTTGAAGAGATTTTGAGTGCGATAATCAAAAGAAAGAAAACGGGAGAAGATTCAATTATGGATGAGCCCGTTTTCTCCGTGTTGGAGACACCGAAAGATGATAGCGAGGGTTCACGACAAAGCAGCATGGGAGGATCCGGTGGACATGGGGACGAAGGCGGCCGAACATCGGGAGGCGAGTACGGTGGGGTGACGAATTGGCGATTTCGGAAATTAGATATGCCATTGTTTGACGGCGAAAACCTGGATGAGTGGATTTTATGAGCAGAACGTTACTTCAACTTTTACAAACTTTCTGAAGCCTATGCGGGGCGTACCGAGGCGGTTCCAGCCTCCTATAAAAGGGATGCGAGGGTTCCCGGAAAAATTGCTCATTCTCTCTCACTTTTCTTGCGTTTTGCCTCGTTTTCCGTGCCCGCACTACCCTGAAGCCCTGGTCATTTTGTGCAAGTCCCGAAGGTCGATTTTACTCCCGAGAAATCCCGAGAAAATCCGCTTTTTCAAGCCAAAGTTCCGCTCGATTTTCGTCACACCTTCTTCAAACTATCAAGTGAGTTCATACCCCCTTCAAACACACTTTAAATACATTTTAAATGCTTTTATACTCTTTCAGGGGGGGGGGGGAATACATGTAAACATACGGTTATTATCGTGTATTTTATAAAGTTTCACTTCACTTGTTTTATCGAATAAATCACTTGGAATTCATTACTACTATGGAAAACTCTTGTCATACTTTGCGTGCATTAGACTTATACAAAGTATATAGTGATTTCAAAGTACCTTTCGTTGCTAAGTCGTTTTATACATTCTAAAAACTTATGATTTATGCTCTGTCAAACATTGTGAAAAAGGATAAACTTTGCATACAAAACTATCACTTTAATACAGACTTAGTTGAGAATCCATGAGATGTGTATATCTTCAAATACTACTTTCTTATTAGAAAGTAATGCTACAAGTCCTGTCTATAACCAGAGTCTCCTGTTAGGAGAACGTGTCAAATGTGTATAGATCTATACGGGAAGTCATGATCCCGCGCCCTGACTGTTAGCTACAGTCCGTCCTTTGGGGTAACAGTTGTCATAACGCTACGACGCCTGAAGAACGTCGCTACATGCATATTATGTTTAGTATGGTTATAAAACTCATCGGATACACAATTATTATAGTACTTCTGATTGATGAACGAGTAGTTATTAAAACTATTCTTTATCTATCAAACGGAAATCCTCTGATAGGTTTATTATATAGATCTATGTTTAAAAGCATGTGGCTTGCTTCCAATTTTTAGTCTTAGACATTAAACAACTATTAGGAAAATAAGGGATTTTCTTGGTTCAACTATCTACATTTTTCAAACACAAATACTCTCATGCATTTCATACTTTTATAAGAAAATAAGGGATTTTCTTGGAAAACATACACCCATTTTGGAATGGAATTCAATTTTTCTAAACCACTTACGAACTCACCAACTTAATTGTTGACATTTTCTCTTTGAAATAACTTGTATTCTCAGGGAACCGCTAAGCAGGTTTGGAAATCAACTTTTGGGATTAACGTGCTGGCGTTAATTACTTCTTTTGAAAGATGTTTATGTATTTATCTTTTGAACATGTAATGAATACAATTATGTAAACATTTTTAAAACCATTATATATGTATGGTGGTGTGTACTTTCCTTTCTATGAACTATTATGATACTGAATATGACGTCCTCCGCCCCCGAATGTTTCCGCCATTCTGGTTTGGGGGTGTGACAGATAAGCTGGAAGCGGCGGTGGTAGCCCTTGAAGGCGACGCTCTATTGTGGTTCCAATGGGAGCACAAACGACGTCCGGTGACCAGATGGCAAGAGATGAAGTCCCTTCTCTTACGTCAATTCCATCCAACAAATGCAGGTACGTTGCACCAACAATGGTTAGCCCTAATACAAACCGGTTTTAGAATATCAGCAATCCTTTATCGAGTTACTTGCCCCGCTAAACAACATACCCGATAATATTACTCTGGGCCAATTCATCAATAGGCTACAGGAGGACATTAGGTCGGAAGTCCAACTCTTGAGCCCAATCACGGTGGACCACGCAATGGCCTTGGCCATTAAGGTTGAGCGTAAGCTCCAATCGTAGCAAAATCGGAAATCCACTCTCACCACTGATCATCGGAACAATTCTCCGGGAACCCTAACCGGCACGCCCTTAATCACTCCGATCAAGACAACTTTTTTTTCTTCTCGCTCTTCACCAACATCTTCCCACCTCGCAACCACTGAGCCAAAGACTACCAGCAAGTTGGGTGGAGAGATGAGGAGGTTAACTGACAAGGAGTTGCAGCAAAAACAAGCCAAAGTGCTCTGCTTTCGATGTGATGAAAAATGGGGAGTGGGGCATAGATGCAAAAAGAAAGAACTCAGTGTGCTATTAATTCAAGAAGAGGATTTGGAGGAAGGGGATAGACCAGACGAAACTGATGATGAACCTGTTCTAATCACTCTGGAATCACCAGTGCTATTTGGAATATGCTTGCACTCAGTGACTGGTAACACCAATCCAAAAACTCTTAAACTCAAAGGAATGCTTAATGATAGAGAGGTGGTGGTTCTCATTGACATTGGTGCCAGCCACAACTTCCTTTCCCTAGCAACTGTAGAGAAACTCCACATACCTATTAGCCCAACTCCGGGGTTCGGGGTATCACTGGGCACTGGGGAATCGGTAACGGGATAGGGAAATTACAAAGGAGTGATACTACACATTCAGGGGCTAGCCATTCCGGAGGATTTCTTACCTCTTCCATTGGGGAATTCGGATGTTATTCTTGGTATTCAGTGGCTGGAAAAGTTAGGGGCAGTGACAACAAATTGGAAGACCCAAGTTATGACATTCCAAGTGGGTGGGCAAGGAGTGATTCTCAAGGGAGATCCCTCCCTGGAAATAGCCAATGTGTCCTTAAAAACCATGATTAGAGCTATTGGGTCAGTGGAAGGAGGCTATTTGGTTCAATTCAACCAATTAGAAGGATAATCACCAGCTAAACAAGCAAAGGATTGCCCCAACTTCTTGATGCTAGTACTACAAGAATTTGCCCAGGTTTTTTCTTGGTCAGGGGGACTTCCCCCGTTAAGAAATTATCAATATGCTATCAACCTTAAGGAAGGGACAGAACCTATCTCTGTTCGTCCTTATAGGTATTCACATGCACAAAAAGCTGAAATTGAAAAACTGCTTTAGGATATGCTCGCTTCCGGTATCATCCAACCATCCCGTAGTCCGTTTGCCAGTCCGGTGTTGTTGGTGAAGAAGAAGGATAACTCTTGGAGGTTTTGTGTGGATTACCGAGCCCTTAACAAGGTCACGGTTAAGGACAAATCCCCAATACCGGTGATAGACGAGTTGTTAGACGAATTACATGGATCACAAGTTTTTTCCAAGCTAGACCTGAAGTCAGGTTATCATCAAATCTGCATGAAAGCTGACGATACCCCAAAAACAGCCTTCAGAACACAAGAAGGACACTATGAGTTTAGGGTCATGCCCTTCGGCCTTACCAACACCGCCGCTACCTTCCAGTCAGTCATGAGTGAAATTTTCCGACCCTATCTTCATAAATTTGTGTTGGTCTTCTTTGATGACATCTTAATTTATAGTCGTGATGAAGGTCAACACCTTTCCCATTTGAGGACGGTATTGAAAACATTACAACAACACGAGTTTTATGCGAATCAAGATAAATGCGAATGGGGCAGAAAAGAAATAGCATATATGGGCCACATCATCTCAATGCATGGAGTGGCTGTAGACCTGGAGAAGATCAAGGCGATAAAAGATTGGTCAATCCCAAAAACTCTCTGGGAACTCAGGGGTTTTTTGGGCCTCACCTGATATTACCGGAAGTTTATCGCCGGTTATGCTAGCATGGCGGCGCCAATGACGGATCAGTTATGCAAGGATTGCTTCGATTGGTCACCACCAACCACAGAGACTTTTAACAACCTCAAGTCAGCCCTCCTCCAAGCACCGGTCCTAGCCATGCCGGATTTCTCCAAACTTTTCATCATTGAAACAGATGCGTCGGGAAAAGGTTTAGGGGCAGTTTTGTTACAAGATCGACATCCAATTGCCTTTTATAGCCAAGTTCTTGGGGTTAAAAATTAATTGAAATCAATTTATGAAAAGGAGTTGATGGCCATTGTCATGGCTGTCAAAAGGTGGAGGAACTACTTAATGGGTCGACACTTTTTGATCCGAATGGACCAACGCAGTCTCAAGTACTTGATGGAACAATGCGAGGTTGGCCCAGAATACCAAAAGTGGATGTATAAACTTTTGGGGTTTGACTTTGAGATTCAGTACAAACCAGGAGTTGCTAATCGAGTCGCCGATGCTCTATCACGAGAATGTACAAAATCAAAGATGGAAATGTGCAATATTATCTCTAGTTGGACTTTCCCTGTTGATGAATTAAATCAAGAAATAGCGGAAGATTCGTTCATTCAACAAGTTAAAAAAGACATAACAGATGAAGGGAAACATCACGTGGGTTATACCGTGGACAAGGGAAGGCTGTTGTATAAGGGTAGGTTGGTCATACCCCAAAAATCTGAGTTGATTCCTAAGTTGTTAAATGAATTCCATGACTCCGTAGTAGGCGGACATGCAGGAGAAATTTGGAAGTATCAGAGGCTAGCAGCTGAATGGTATTGGGTAGGAATGAAAAAGAGTGTCCAGAAGCATATCCAGACATGTGCCGTGTGCCAAACGCAAAGAGCTTTAACAACCCACCCGGCTGGTCTCCTACAACCGTTGCCCATTCCAACCCAAGTTTGGGATGAGTTGTCCATGGATTTTATAGAAGGCCTTCCTAATTCGCACGGTTACTAGGCTATTTTGGTGGTGGTGGATCGCCTCACCAAATACGCTCACTTTATAGCAATCAAGCATCCCTTTACCGCCACCTCCATAGCATCAATATTCATTAAAGAAATCGTTCGCCTGCACGGGTTCCCATCTTCCATCGTCTCGGACCGGGACAAGGTCTCTATGAGCTTATTTTGGAAAGAGTTGTTTAGACTTCAAGGAACGAAGCTGCTGCGGAGCACTGCCTACCACCCACAAACAGATGGGCAAACAGAGATTGTCAAGAAGTCCGTCGAGTTGTACTTACGTTGTTTCATTCAGGGAAAACCGCGTTCATGGTCACAGTGGTTGCCTTGGGCAGAATTCTGGCATAACACCTCTTACCACACCACCAGCAAAACT